GGGCTGGGAGCGCCTCTGCAGCGGTGTGGGCACTGGCCTCGCGAGCCTCACGCGGCGAAAACGCCCTGCAGGCTCTTCAGGTCTCCACCCAGAGCCACCCTGAGCTGGCGAGGCTGTCAGGGTTTAAGCCTCCACGGGAACAGAGCCCTCCCGATGGCAGAATACGAGTGGGGGAAATGCTTGGCGTGTGAGTTGCAAGGACATGTGTCAGGAAGGGGGCTGGTGGTGGACGCAGACCAGGACTGAGAAGACAAGTTCCCGGACGTGGCAGGCACCGGGTGCTTGCTGAGCCCAGAAAGCACGATGTCAGCGGGGGAACCACCCTCAGATGGCCGAGGATGAAGAGGGCGGTGAGGGCCTCACGGCGCGCTGCCATGTCTCGGTCGCGGGATAAGCCAGCTGAGTGACACCTAGTAACGTGCCGAGAGAGAAATTCCATGCACCCCTTTCCTTCTCCCCGGAAAATGCCTTCTCAGTCTGCCTGTGACCCCCTTGGGCGTTAAGTCACCCCGTCCTCCAAAACTTGATGGCTCCCCATGGGCCATAAACTAAAGCTTGTAACCCCTTAGTGTGCCGTTCCAGGTCCCGCCTGACCTGGTCTAAAGTAACGATTGCTAGGATCCCCAAAGGGGTGGCAGCGAGAGCTATGGGGGTTTACAGGATGAAGATAACTCCTAAGAGGATCTAGAAACTACTTGCAGTAGATAATGATCTAGTCTGACTTTAGAGAATGAGAATTTCAGCAGGTGGAAAGTGGGGGAAGGAACATTCTACACACCGAAAACAAGTTCAAAACCCCAGAGCAGCTCTTAAGACCGCCAATCTTCGGAGTCTCCTCTCCTTCCTTCTCTGTCAAGTTCCCTCTGGCATACCCACGGAGAACCGAGAATGTTTCTTACATCTGGACAACAAACTACTAATTAATGGAGCCTCTCATTCACGATGGAATGAAGGTTTTAAGGTGTTTGACCACCAAAGGTTTCAGTGAGGCAAATTGAATCATTTTCATTGAACCAAAGAGTGAGAAAGGAAAGAAGGAAGACTGACCAACTTTTTAGGCCTGATGCAACCTTTTCTACATGTATTTTATTTTTTTCACCAAAATCTAGTTTGAAGTCACATGGCTCTCTTAGATGTTGTAGCCATTGGGGCCTCTACCACGGTTGTTTTTTTTGTTGTTGTTTTTTGAGTCGGAGTCTCACTCTGTCGCCCAGACTGGAGTGCAGTGGCCGCTC